ATATTGTACAATACTTCCCTCCTAACTGAATCATAGGCTTTCTTGAAGTCTATAAATAGCTGATGTACTGTCTCATTGTACTCCCATTTTTTCTCCAATAGCTGACAAATGCAAAAGATCTGATCTGTACTTGATCTGTTACGTCGAAACTCACACTGATGATCCCCAGTAATTTCATCTATATTTGGACTTAACCTTGAAAGAAGAATATTGAACAAAATTTGATATGAAGTTGATAGCAGTGATATCCCCCGATAATTACTACAGTCAGTTTTATCACCCTTCTTGTGCATTGGTACAATAATAGACTCCTTCCACTGATCAGGTAATTTTTCCTTATTCCAAATAGAAGTAATTAGCTTGTGAATCTTAGAACATAACATTTCACCTCCTGCTTGAATAAGTTCTGTTGGAATTTGATCACTACCTGGCAATTTATACGGTTCCAATTTTGCAATAGCACTTTCAACCTCAAAAGGGCTAGGATCAGGTATTAACGGCTCAGCTGTATCGATTTCTGTCTGCCTAACATCACTGACCCTATGTACATTCAATAACTGAGAGAAGTAGTTCCTCCACCTATTCAAAATGTTGTGGGAAGCTGCAAGCAGATCACCATTCTCATCCTTCACTAAGTTACTGCTAGGCTGGTAACCCCTCTTAAAGTCATTTATTCCTCTATACAGGTCTCTAATATTCTTGTTCTTACTGTTCATTGCAAGCTCATCAATTCTGTCTTTCAGATATTCCCTCTTTTTATTCCTGAAATGCCTGCGGGTTTCATGTCTTATATTGTTCAGATTATCCCCATTTAACTCGCTTGGATCCTCTAACCATTGCAATTTGGCCTGCTTTCTTTGATCTAATAATTTTGAGCATCCTTCATCAAACCATCTTCAGTTCATAATAACCTAGACTCTCTTTGGCAGACATTTTTATATTCTCTCTAATAGTTTCCCAAGCTTTATTAACATCCACCTCAGGTTCCAAGTTTTCCAAAGCCACGAAACTATTTGAGATTTCAACACAATACCGCTCTTTACC